TGAATATAATTAATATCTAGATGTGTAAAAGTGTAAAATGTTTAAATTATTTGAGCTATGATAATGTGTTTTTTCCAATTCTTGTAAAAAAGATTTAATCATGCTAGCAGCCACAAAAAAGACTGCTGTACTAATTCAGAGCAATGGAGGGGCTTCACATAGATTTTATAGCTAATGAACTTGAGTCAGTTTCAAGGTGGGGAATTTTATTGTGTCCTGGAATGTGATATTTTCAGAGTATTATTCAGAAACTATGTACAAAAACTCATGTATGAACACAGCAATCACATATATGTGTTTTTCACTAATATATCTAATTATGTATATTAGATATATTGGCACCCAGGAGCTGAAACAGCTAAAGTACTTCAAGAGGCTGTGAATTTCATTATATTTAAATTCACATTATGATTAAATACATGGATATATAAGATCTTTTTCCCTACAAAGGATAGCAGGACACAAATTGAATTTTGTATCATGCTGAATCTTGTCATTTTACAGACTGTGATTTCTTGCTAGCCTCACAGCATCCATCATTCTTTTAGAGAGTCTGAGTACACTGCAGTGACATTCTGTTAAAGTCAGACTCACAATATGGCAAATGTGATAGAAATGCCCACTTAATCCAATATATTTTAATGTGGTAAGTAAATTGTTCTAGTGAATGAATAAACTGCTGTAGTATGAGATCAGTTGGCACAGTTGTCAATATTAAAAGAAACATCACTTTAAACTAACTCTTCACCATCTGTTGTATAGCCTACTTTAAAAAGACCATAATTTACAATTGCAAAAGTAGGTAAGAGAGGAATAATGGCAATGTATATTATGTGCTATATTCATCTGAACGCACATCTGTTCTGTTTCTCTCTGGAATTTTAGATGCTAATTGGGAGACATTCCCTTCTTTTCATACATGAAGATAAATTTATAGAAAGAAAATTAGGAATTATTACTTGTTTTTAAAGAGTTATTTATTTATTTGAGTGGTAGAGTTACAGACAGAGAGAGGGAGAGACAGAGAGAATGGTCTTCCATCCGCGGGTTCACTCCTCAAATGGCTGCAATAGCCAGAGCTGAGCTGATCCGAATCCCAAGAGACAGGAGCTTCTTCCGGGTCTCTCAAATGAGTGCAGTGGCCCAAGGAGTTGGGCCATCTGCTACTGCTTTCCCAGGCCATAGCAGAGAGCTGGAATGGAAGAGGAGCAGCCGGGACTTGAACCAGCACCCACATGGGATGCCAGCACTGCAGATGGCAGCTTTACTGGCTACTCCGTAGCACCCCAGGAATTATTCTTAAGGTGATTCTCTTTTATAAAAATTTGAGACTGTCACAATTGAATTCTAATATTTTAAGAAATAATATTTACAGCAGCTATTATTCTTTCATAAAATTCTAAATCATGGAGTTTGCCAAAATTACTCTTACTGAAAGAATATTAGGTTCATTACATTGTATTTACCCAAATGAAATTTCTAACACTGAAAACATTTTATCTCCAAAATTGGCAATTTATTCTGGTTTACTATAACAAACATGAAAGAAATGGAGCAACATCAAGTTTTACAAATGACCACAGCCTTTAACAGTAGGCAATGATAAAGCCTTAGTAAAGCAAAGCACCAGGAGTGATGGTGGATTCTGGTTAAAGTAACCTAACACAGCTCTTGCTGGAGTCAGACAAGGGTCACAGATAACACTTCATAAGCCATCAGAAATCAAGGGCTTCTTAGTCAGTTCTAAGAAACACAGCAGAAGGAGTTGTCAAAGAGTACCCTCTCTTTGTAACAAGTAAAAGTCAAAGGGAATGATTTCCATGCTTCCCAGAAGAGGAAAAATGGGTGTCTTTCATTTGGGGGTGGAATGGATACATAAGAGGGGAAGCTCTTGTCATCACAGGAGCTGTTCCTCAATGTGCTCCAGGGGCCTGCCCTGTGGCCTGATGGGTAAAGCTGCTGCTTGTGATGCTGGCATCGCATGTGAGCCTGGTTCTGCCCTGGCGGCTTCATTTCTGATCCACTCCCTGGTAATAGCCTGGGAAAGCAGTGGAAGATAGCCCAAGATTTTGGGCCCTTGTCAAGCTCCTGGCTCCTGACTTAAGCTTGGCGCACCTCTAGCCACCGTGGCCATCTGAGGAGTGAACCAATAGTTGGACGATGTCTCTCTCTCTCTCTCTAACTCTAGGTTTCAAAATAGATAAATAAATCTTAAAAGAACAAACATGTGCCAATATAGATTGCATTGTGCTAATAGTGCTCAAACTCCTTTTGGGGTAGAAATATTAGTACTAACATGAAGCAAAAGGAGACCTGTGGGTACTTTTGAACCCATCTGGGCAGGCCAGGCTCTTGCATTAAGGTCTGGTTTAGTCCAGGGTGTCTGGAGATTATAACTCTCCGTGGAATATTAGTGAAACCTATTAAAACCTATTAGGCCCTGTAATGGGCCTAATATCCCCCAAACCGGATAAAACTGAGCACTGATAATCTAAAGGTAAGTGGAATGTTGCTTAGAAAGCCCTCACCTGGAGATAACACATTGTAAAAAAGGAGGGGACTTTACCAACAGGCCCTTCTGCAGTAGGATCCCTCCCCAAAAAACAATGTAAATGGGCTGTGGCCCATTCCCTGTGGGCTGAACATTCACTGTCAGCCTCCTCTCTTGCTCTCTGGGTGGCTTCCAGCTTTGTCCCAAACCCTGTCTATGCAGTCTTTTCTACATAAAAGTATTTTCTGCTTTAATCTGTCATCTCTGTGACTTTTCAAACCCTGAAACCCTAAAACCTAACACAACCCTGGAGAAGACAGGCGCCTTAGGGTCTTGAAACAAAAATTAGGTACAAGATATGCTTTCAAGTTGCTTGGGGCCTTAGCCAGTGACAATTGAGGAATGATGGAGGTGAGGCAATTAGATATTGAGGGTGATTCAATATTAAGTGTGGAGAATCCTGGTTAAACTGAGCATAAATCTTTACTTTCTAGTTGTGGCAAAGCACACATAACAGATTTTACCCCTTAACCATCATTAAGTGTGCAGCTCAGTAGTATTGGTTGAAGCAGTCAGTATTTTCCATTGTTTAGCAGCATTCTTGCTAAAGTTGAACAATAGGAGAATGAATGTGGAAATCTAAACTCAGAGCATAGTTGAGAAAGGGGTCAGGAAAATCCAAACAGTTGGGCCAAGGTGAGACTGTCTCTCTCTTTTAAGATTTACTTATTTATTTGACAAATACAGTTACAGAGACAGGAGGTGGAAGAGAGAGAGAGAGGGGGAGAGATTGCAATAAGGAAGAAAATCAGAGCTCAGTGTGACCTCCACTCAAAGGAAACCAGAGGGTGGGAGTATTTTAAGCACCAGAGTGTCAGTGAGAGGGAACTCACACTTGGCTTTGTGGCTTTATCTCCAGGAGAAATTGGCTTTCTCTTGCTGGCAGGCAATTAGAAGGAAGGTGGCAACACTTTAGGCTCCTACTCTCCTCCAGAGACTGGAAGACAGGGTCTATATCTTCCTTTAGGAAGATACTCCAGGTTATTAAGAATCCCTGGGTCGCAAAGCAGGCCAGAGGCTGTTAAACAGTGTAAGGCGCAGAAAATTAAACAACTTCACCATAATATTAACAAAAATAAGCAAGAGCCACGCTGACTGCAAGAGATCTGCATGGACTTGATAAGAACCACCCATGGCCTGTGCACACCCTCTGCGGGACCTTATGGGCCCTACACTGACTGTCCCAAAATATATGAAAACAGGACTGAGGAGGCCAGTGGGGACGCTGAACAGATTCTTCTGAGTGCAGCCATGCAGAAGCATCAAGTTAACCCACCGCATTCAGATCTTCCTGCTAGAGGGTTCTCCCAGCCAGCCCTGCACTCACCGGGCCTTGAGGCTCTGCTTCCCCTGAGGCAAGACTCCACCTGATTAGAGCCAAAGCACCAGCCAGGAGCTGAGACTCAGATCCCCCTTAAAGACCTGTGCCACTGCCACAGCAATACTGTGCTCAAGACAAAAGGATTTACATATGAAGAGAACAGAGAGAGAATTTAAAAATGAAAGTAAGTGCTTTAAGGTAAGGTCAGGAGCCTGGAGTCAAAAACAATCAATCAAAAGTTTAGTCTGCCCCAGAGGAATGTTAAGCCACCATGGTCATTATTCTAAAACAAACAAACAAACAAACAAAACACACACACACACACACACAAAACAGAAGGACATGAATTTTTATGGGAAATATTCTTCTGCACCCTCCATCACTACTTGCTCCTGAACAGAGAGGAGAGGAAGAAAAAAATGCCATTGAAACTGCCAGTTGAAAGACTTCCTGTTTATACTTCAAAATGCCATGAACTTGCAAATTATCACTTCCATCCTCCCTCACAAGAGAAAAAGCTGACCAAACTGAAGTTCATTTCTTATATCCTTCAGGGAATTTGGTCACAGGATAAACCACACCACTATCCCAAAACTGAAGGGATTCAGAGAACACAGACCAATTTGCTTGAAGCAAAAGCCGCTGCAGCTGGTTAACAATGGAAGACTTAAAGGAGTAACTTAATGAAGAGTTAGAATATGGATTAGCTTGAGAGTCCAAAACTCCTGGAGCAGCAAGCATTTGGCCTCTCCTTCTGAGGGTGCTCAGGACTAATGCCATCGCCCAGCCCCCTGCCAGCACATACACACTAAACAGAGCAGGGTTGAAGCCTCTTGTAACAAACACTTATCAAAGATGACAAGATCTAAGCTTAGATAAAAACAAGCTAGAAAGGGCTCCATGAAGGCTGCCTCTGGCCTTCACTTAACTCACATATAACCACTGCCTTTGTTCCTTGGAGATAACCTGTTGTGTTAAGGACACACGAGTACCCCTAGACCTTGAGACCTCAGCAGCTTAGTCTCTAACTTCTACCAGCTCCTCAGATCCTGTTCTGCTATAGATGACCTCACTTCTTCACACTCACCATTGCATCTGGTCTTATAAATCATTGTCTTTGACACCGTTATGCCCAGTTCGATTGTCCCCAAAGACCACCAAGAAGCCCATACCTCTGTAAAACACACGAAAGTTTTATTACAGGCCTGGGCCTGGACTCTCGACCATCACCGATGCAGTGGGTTTGAATTGAGAGCCCCGACTTTGCAGTTAACAGGGTTTGTATAGGGTTTTCAGAGACATTCTATACATTATAGTACCATTTAGCAGATCATTTCATTTCACAGGAAATTTAAAGAACATCTCTAAAAACTGATTAGTGCACCCAGCGGCGGGAATGGACCTAGTAAAGGTGGTTGGATGGCTTTGGGGTTGATGTCTTTTAAATTGATTGGCTAAAGTATAGGGTCCGAGCTGCTGGCACGTACGTGTCAAACTGCAGGGTTTGGGGATGTTATCAATCACCTTAACTGCCCTGAAAAAGACACCTGGAACTTTAGGTATTTCCCTGCTATCTGCTGATTGGCTGTTGCTAGGAGAGATTATTGCAAGGGGAGCTCATTTATTTATTTTTAGGAGCTTCTGGGTCAAGGCTCAGGGCTCGGTCAGGCCTGAATTACAAGATTGAGGACTATTTCAAAATAGTTGCACCTTGATCCAGGCTCAGGTCTCTCAGACACCAGGACATAAACTCAGACGCATCTCACCAGTTTTCCTACAACAATTGAAGACAGTGGTGGAGATTTCTATGGTCTAGAACAACTCGTACAAGAGATTCTAGCTACTATGGAACCCCAAAACTGGGTCCTCTTGCCTGACATGCAGAAGGCAATCACTGACATCCAAGTGGTAGAAGAAAGGAGGCTTCTCTTGCAGAACACAGAGCTAGGAGTCAGGCATCTGTGGCTTGATTTCCAAGCTTCCCAAAGGTTAGTGCAGAGAATGTTACAGATTGAAGCTAGGGCGGAGAGGTACGTGTTCCACTCTTGTCCAGTTTGCCTGGTTTAGTTTTAGGGCTCAAGGCCCTGCTTCAATTGGTTGTCCATATCATTTCCTTGATGGAATTCTGATGATGGTAAAATGGGATTCAGTCAGTCTGGGACTATGTACAGAGGGCAGTTACTTCCTACTCCAGGCCTAGAGTTCCTGGAAAAGGCATCCCTCGAGACAAGATGCTCTGTACTGGGGAAACGAATGATTTCCTGGGTCCAATAATTGGAGTTTTGTAGGGTCTGCTGCACCACTCCCTCGATTCAGTGCATTAATTTAGTAAGTGTTGATTTGCTATCAGAAAGCAGAGAAATCATACTTTAAGCTAATGAAGAGAGGCTGGGAGACTGCAGGAGACTAAGACCTGAGGGTGTTTAGCATCCACACACCATACAGGACCTTGGTTTCACTCATGCCCCACATCCCACTGTTTGGACTTGATACCAGGCTCTGGCTCCTGATTCTAGCTTCCTGCTAGAGCAAACCTTGGGAAGCAATGGTGAGCCCAAGTAGCTGGATTCCTGCCACCTACATGGAAGACCTAGATTGAGTCCCTGGATCGCGGCTTCACTCCTACTAAGTCCTGACTGTTACAGGCACTTAGGGACTTAACCAATGGATGGGGGTGCACTGCACCCTTTCTCTCTCTCTCCTCTGCTTCTCAAACACTAGAAAAAAAAAAGCAATGACAAACAAAAGACTCTTAGAGACTCCATTGAAACCCCTTCTTTTCCCACCCTCTGATTCACTCTCCAGATGGACACAATGGCCAGCACTGGGCCAACCTAAACCCAGGATCCAGGAACTTCATCCAGGTCTTCCACATGGGTAGAAGGGACCCAAGGATTTGGGCTATTTTCTGGTGCTTTTCTCAGCTGCATTAGCAGGTATCTGGATAGGAAGTGGAACAACTCAGACAGGAACTGGCACCCATATGTGATGTTGGCATCTCAGACAATACTTCACAATGCCAGCCCCTTTTGTGGAGTTTTAAACTCAGAGCACAATGTCCTAAAATATTTTCAGATCCTGTAAGTAGGTAACTTCTGACTTGTAAAATATATAATGCCAATTAGCAGATAAAATATTCATAAGAGGACAATTATAATACATCTTACAATTTGCTACACTTGTCTCCAAAAAAGTGAAAAGTATTTTCTATTCAGTTAAACAGTCCCATCTTGACATATTTTGAACAGTAATTGAAAATAATTCAAAAGATGTGACACAATGAGTGGATTCCTCACAGAATTTCAGACTATACTCTGTATCATAATGAATAATTAATTTTTCAGGATATGGCTTACCATACCTTCTAGCATGCACCCACTTTCTAAGCCCTTATGTTTTTCTGATATTGTTCTTCAGGTCAGATACGCACGACATGTCTGCATTTTAGTCCAGCTGCCATACTCCTTATTCCACTTTGTCTATACAGATTTCCCTGGCTTGTATTATTGTTTTCTGTTTTAGTTTTTTCTGTTACTTAATAATTCTTTGGATTTGCCAGATTGTGCTATTCCATCTATATACTTAACATGCTATCGGTGTATTTTGTGTTTAATTAATTAATTAAATACATAAATATTGTGGTTTTCCATTTTGGTAGCGTATTTCTTTTTGAAGGAAAATAATAGTAAAAACTTTCAAAATTCCTTTCCCATAGCATACACATTCATGAGGTAGTAAACTAATGGAGATGTAAAAATATATTAGGTTAGGAGCAAATGAATTGCATAAAGAATACGAAGTAAGAAAAAAGTAGTGCTAAAAGTATTATGCTAAACATATGATCAAAAATTTTTCACTAATATTTTAAAATTCAAACAGAAATCTAAAAAAAGATGAGGCACTGGGTCATGGGTATAAGAAGAAATACATTTAAGGCTGAGAGAACAGAAAGTAGAAAGATACCAAGTTAGGAATATTCTCATTGTGCTATTAGCATTAAAAGGAAGTTTGGCTAGGCAAGGGTGGCATGGAGCACTAGTATTCTGTATCTGAGAGCCAATGTCATGCTTGTGTGGCTCTGAGTATCTCGTGGCATTTCCTTTGACCTTAACATTACACTTGGATGGAAACTCTCTAGAGACACTGAACAATTTGACATTCTTACATTTATATTTTAAAAGCTAAATATGACTCTAGCCTTGAGAACAGATAGTAGGGAGATAATGATAGCTTGACCACATGAACAGAAGTGCTGAATGCAGTGTGAAGCTGTTATAGACCTGTTTTGAAAGCAAATTCATTTTGAAAGATTGGTTTTGGAGTGTGTGAAATAGGAAAAGTCACAAGAGACTTAATTTTATTTATTTATTTATTTGCCAACTTCACTGCAAGCAATTGAAATTCATGAAAAAGGAATAGGCTAGAAGAATAAGTCTGGATAAACAGAAAAAGTTTAAACTTTGGTATGCTAAGTAAAAGGCCAATTAGACATACAAGTGAGACTATTGAAAGATGCTGGATATGTCTCAGGAGTATAGACAGCTGGAGACCTATATTTGAAAGTCATCTGTGCACAAATGATTTGTTTAAATCATGAGACCACACATTATTATATAAGAGTAAATTGAATGCTATTAGTGAAGACAGTTGGCAGAACATTTGAGGCCTAGAATATGTCAGCACTTGCAAAATTAGAAGATTTAGCAAAAGCCAATGAGCAGGAATGATTAATGAAGTAAGAGTAAAATCAAAATTTAAAACAAAAATCTCTTCAAGTAATCACTTGTATTAATTGATGCTGACCCAATAAGGTAAAGACTGAAAATAGTTGAGATCATTGGTAACATTGCATGAGTACCTGGTGAAGGGATGAGCTAAGATCTGATTCAAATAATCAATTAAAGTGTATGAAAAGAGAATTGGAAGGGGAATAGACAAAGTAATGTCATAGCTAAGATAGTATTGGGTTCAAAGAAAATAATTAAAGTAGAAAAAGTTCCATTTAAGAAGATTGGTTGGAAAGATTGTTCAGTAACGTAAAACAGGAGTGCCTTTTGCAAGAGTGACCATACTTCAGGGAGCAATAGCAGGAAAGCTGAAAAAAATAGCTATATAAGTGCAATGAGAAACTAGAGATTATTGTGAGCATAGACTTATGAGCTCAACAGCTAAAAGTCAAGAGACATTTGATGCTTAAACACATGAGAAGATGTAAAATTATTGTGCATTAGTGGGTTGGGAAAATACCTGGCTATACCTGGGCCACAGTTTGGACAAACCGAAAGTGAGTATGTGTAATATAAGGGAGGACACTTGGCACGTTTGTGGGTACCCTTTTGTTTAGTTTTGGCCTTTGATTTTCTTTATCTCAATTCTGGCACATTAAACAATAGAGATGAATACGCAGTACAAAACAGGGGGAGTAGGCAAATTAAGAAGGTTTGAAGCTTGGCCAGTAAGGAGTGAAAGTTGGCAGTGGCAAAGCAGTTGAGGATATATTGAAGGAAGTGATTAAAAACAGATGGTAGATTTTAGACTTAGAAGAAATAAAAGTAATGATGTGAAATTATTAAGCAATAAAAATTGCTATAAATGATGCATTCTTAGCCTTGGAAGTTTAGATAATAATACAAGCAGGAATAACTGTCGACTTAGGAAGCATTGATTGGAAAATTGAATACTTGCAATGAAGATGGTGGGATTATGAGTCCAGACTGATCTAAGCAATGTGTTAGTGTATCTGGAAAGTGGCAATGGCAGAGCAGAAAGCTCTATAGAGCAGAAAAAGCCAAGGTTCTGAGCTGAACTTTCCAAATGTGGTATTAAAGACTATGAATGGAGCCTAATATCTAAGTTCTGGCCTTCATTTTAAATTCTTGTTTAAAGGAACTGTAATGACAGAAGGGTCATTTGGGCAGTCTTTGTCTTTACAGTATGTGACACGGACCTGAATGACATGTTATAACCACTTAATCTCTCTGTAAAACTGGGTTAAAACAGTACTCAAATCAGAGGGCAAGGGTGAGAAGTTAAAAAAAAAAGATAGTATCATTGCTCAGCACTAAAAAAGTTTTCAGCGAATATGTATAAACATATACATGATATATATATATATATATATATCATATACATCATACACATGATAACTCGGAGTAAGTGAAGTTCCTAGAGTACACTAGCTGACAGAAAAGATTACTTCACTTTGAGTTGAAACCTATCTGACATTTTAAGTTCTTGAATTGAGGGTCTTTCTATTGATCATCAGTTTGATAAAGTAAAGA